CAAAAATTTGACTCAGAAAACCAGAACGACATTTGGGAGATATTACAATCAAAGACATTTTACGACCGGTATATTAAACTTCTATATTATCCCCTGGGCTATTCTACTCGGTCAACCTTAGATGTTTTTAAGGCATAAATTACATGGAAAGTGGGATGCTATATGCTATCCATCGACTTTCCGGACCTCTATACGAGGGAAATAATTGAATAATTATCAATGCACAAATTAAAAAATTCGGAGGCACACGGGCTCGAACACAAGTGGGGTATGATCCCACATCTTCTGTTTGCCGGACAGGTGCTCTGCCAATTGAGCTATTGTGGCCTCCTCCGCATCTCCGAATTTCAGAACTTGTGCATATCGTCTCACTATCCCTACTCCCCCCCACCCTTCGCGTTTAAAGCCATACTGAAATATTACAATCAAAGACATTTTACGACCGGTATATTCAACATCTATATTATCCCCTGGGCTATTCTACTCGGTCAACCTTAGATGTTTTTAAGGCATAAATTACATGGAAAGTGGGATGCTATATGCTATCCATCGACTTTCCGGACCTCTATACGAGGGAAATAATTGAATAATAATCAATGCACAAATTAAAAAATTCGGAAGCACACGGGCTCGAACATAAGTGGGGTATGATCCCACATCTTCTGTTTGCCGGACAGGTGCTCTGCCAATTGAGCTATTGTGGCCTCCTCCGCATCTCCGAATTTCAGAACTTGTGCATATCGTCTCACTATCCCTACTCCCCCCCACCCTTCGCGTTTAAAGCCATACTGAAATATTACAATCAAAGACATTTTACGACCGGTATATTCAACATCTATATTATCCCCTTTCCATGTAATTTATGCCTTAAAAACATCTAAGGTTGACCGAGTAGAATAGCCCAGGGGATAATATAGACATTTGGGAGAATCTGCCGTATGATTCAAGTCTTTTTCTTCCTTAAATTGAATAAAACTTCTAGCACATCATATAGCCATAGGTGCTACTTGAATTATGACAGATTTTTTGCTAAAGATAAACATTAAGTGAAGAAAAGTACTACAAAAGCCTCAGAGGTCCTCCCCTCTCTTCAAATATTATAAAATAGTAGCGGCGGATGATTCAAATATTCTATAGAACCTATTTTTTACAATTTCTCGAATTGGCCAGTTTCTCCCCTGGCGGATCTGTCGATTGTAGAATCGAGTTGATGAGCCTATCAATTCGTATGCGAGTGTAGTTCGATTCAGATCTCAGATTATTGATGAAATCGAAAATGAATCGACTTCATAGGATTTCGATAGCTAGTGAATTTCGAATGAAAAAAATTTATTGCACCAAAACTTGAACGACTCATGGGGTGGTCGATTATGAGAGACTCCTTACGGTCGGACCAGGCTCGACTTGAAGAAAGTCGATTGTGACTCGATTGCCCGCATATTATCCACATCAATCGACCCACAATCGACCAGTTGTTTAGTCGTTTCATATAAGTGAATAATATGAAGTCAATGGAGTAATAATCGACTCAAGGATCAGTTGATTCGCCCACTCGAATTATGAAAACTATTATGAAACGACTAAACAACTAGTCGATTGTGAGTCGATTGACTTGAATAATGAGGACAATCGAGTCACAATCGACTCAAGGATCAGTCGATTCTCCCACTGAAATTATGAAAACTATTATGAAACGACTAAACAACTGGTCGATTGTGGGTCGATTGACTTGAATAATGAGGACAATCGAGCTACCATCGACTTGGCAGCGAGTCGATTCATTTACTAAGTATAAGAAACTAATATGAAATGACTGAATAACTTGTCGATTGTGGGTCGATTGACTTGAATAATGAGGACAATTGAGTCACAATCGACTTTCTTGATGTCGATCCTGGTCTGACCGTAAGGAGTCTTTCATAATCGACCACCCCATGAGTCGTTCAAGGTTTGGTGCAATAAATTTTTGTCATTCGAAATTTACTAGCTATCGACTTCCTATTAAGTCGATTCATCTTCGATTCCATCAATAATCTGAGAACTGAATCGAACTACACTCGCATACGAATCGATATACTGATCAACTCGATTCTACAATCCTCGGGATCCGCCAGGGTCGATCACTGTGAAAAGACCAAAAAAATCTGTACAAATTTCTGCTAATGTAACATCGCTCAGTAGCGGGATATCTAATATTTAATGGAGACGATGTTCACATCCATGCATGGAAAAATTCAATAGAAAACCTAGCGAATTCGCTAGAAAATTCTATTGGAAAATTCTATGCGGTTTTCTATACAGAAAACTGTATTTTTTTTGCCCTGATTCTATTGGATATTCAAGAAGAAAAAGTCAATAGATTCCAACTTTTTGTTTGAATTTTTCTCTTAAATTTTTTCTATTAAAATTATTGGGCACAAAATTTTCCAAGTTATTTCCACTGCATTTTATTTTGTTTTGAATTGTAGCATCCGAGTGTTATGTCCGAAGGATTTTTCAGGCGGGAAAATCCTGAGTTTTCTAAACTGATTTATCCGTTGAATTCATTCGTTGGACTCTAATGGATCAGGTATCAAGAATTCCTTGATTAACAATAAAAATAAAGTGCGATAAAATGTTTCTTATCGCGTTTTCCCGAGTGTTAATGAGCAATTTGTTTATTCTGCACTCTCACCTTGTTTTCTTCTTAGTGAATGGGACCGGAAGTTTCATTTTTTATATTCCGAAGGGATATTTGAAATGATTTAAGCGAATTTCTCGAATGCGTAACACCTCTAATTGTTTGTTTTAACCAGCTAATCTAAGTTTACAATGTCAGGGGAAATTTGGAGTTGGTTCGATTTCATTGATTTTCCGCGAATCACAAAGTTCAAATTTTACAGCAATATATTACTTAAGGTCTACTTACAGGTTTACTGCTTATTGGAGATGTAATCCCTAATAGAGGGAAATGTCGTCCCAGACACTTATTACAATTTCTCTCTTTAAAGTATTTTTCAGTTCACAATGTTCTTTAGAATTTTTAAATTAAGGATCCAAATTGTTTATAAATACACACACACTTGTACCGTAAGGCGTTCGGAATCGCGAAAGCCTTATTGGTTCGTACGCGTGATTTTAAAAGCCAAAAGAGTGTATCTCTTTTTTTTATGATACTAGAGAATGTGAAAATTCTCGTTAATTTTGATGAGGGGTTTTTGATAACTCAAATTTCCGAATTTCCAAAATCGATCAACTCTCGGTAGCGATCGCCAGCACTCAGGAGACCACCCTCGAAATCCAGTTCACTGATTTCTGTTGGGAGCTATGACGAAAGATTAACTTTCTCCGACTTGGAACCCAAAAGCCCGAATTACCGAAGATTGGAGAACGTATTCGTTCCCCTGGTTTTCCACGATTGTGGTTTACTTTGTCAATTGCAGTTTTTAAGTTTTGAATTTAGGCGTTGGCTTTATGGGGTGGAACACTTGTTCACGTGATCGAATTTTCGCTGATTCCACTCCTGGGGTTTTGGAACTTATTGGACTTTGAGGTGGCCTGAGGAATTTAGCGCGATGTTGAAATTGCCTGTCGGCGATTTCGACATCGGTTGTGCCGAAAAGAGTCATTGGAATGTGTTTTATGTTCATTTTCAGACTGGGGGTGGTTTAGGGGTTGTTATTTTTGAGGGTTGTTTTGGCTTGCCGGAAGGGTCTCGATGATTCGAACCATTTTTGTTAAGGACGTTTTTCTAGGTAACGCGTTGTTTGGGTGTCACGTCGATTATTAGTTAGTTATTGTTTATTTAGCTAGCTCTTTTATTTACGGATGGAATGTCAAAATTTTCAGTTTGTTTTCTTGCGCTGGTTGTGCAGCGTTTTTGGAAATATCGTTTTGGGTTAGAATTGTGTTTTACTATTTATTAGGGTTGGTTGAAAATTTTTAGGGGAATTTGTTGTTAACAATTGTAATTATTATCCGATGGGATTGAGTGAGGGCTTGGATTGTTTGGTTTTGTTGCCCGGTCGTTTTTTGTTTTGGGAAGTTTTCTGTAAAACTATTATTTTGGGTTTTAGCAAAAATGTTTTGTTAGGGAAAAATTGAACCCCTGCTAAAGTTATTTGTTAATAACTTTTGCAGTGTTCGGAATTTCTTTTTGGGTGATGGGTCAAAAGTTTCCTCGTTGTAGGGCGGAACTTTTGACGTATTTGTATGGTGCGGAGATTTTGGTTTTATAATTTGGTTTGGGGGCAGTTTGTTTATTTCGTGTAGGGTAGTGGGGGTGGGTTTCGTGGTGGTCCAAACGGGGTGTATGAGGGCTCAAAGTTTTTGTTTCTTCCGGGGGAACAATTTTGATCCTCTGCACTTAATTGTTTGGCCCTTTGTTTAATTTTTATTGATATTTTTCTGTAATCTAAATCTTGTACGCCGTTGGTTATTTTGGGTTTTTGGATATTTTGGAGTTGGGGGAGGATTTTAGGCTAAAAATAATTTGGACATAACACGAGTAAAAAAAACTTAGAAAATTGATGCCCAAGCATTCCTATAGAGAAAATCTCAGGAAAAAAATTTCAACAGAAATTCGAAATCTATTGACTTTTCTTATCGAATATCCAATAGAATCAGCGCAAAAAACAAATAGAATTTTTCAATAGAATTCCAATAGAAATTCTATAGAAACCCCCAAATAATTTCTATAGAATTCCAATAGAATTTTCCAGTGAATTCGTTAGATTTTCTATTGAATTTTGTCATACGTGTCTCCAATTTATTTCTTGTCTTTCAATACTTCACTACTGAAATCATCTTACATTTATTTGACAATTTTGGTCTCCCTGGTAACTGCAAAGATTACGGGCCTTGACCGTTGCGAGGACAATCAGTGGCTGATTAAGTACAATAAATGCTGAGAGGCGGGAGGAGGGGAGATATCGAATACACTGGATAACTCTCAAAAACCTTATTCATTTTCCAAAAAATACTAATGTTCCTTATTACTCTTTACTCCTATGGTCCTTACTTAGCCATACCAGATCACGACTGAGAAGTAAAGAATATTTTTGAAAATGAACAGAAACGGTTCGAATATCTTCGGCTGATTCATTCTGTTCTACAAATATCTAAAGACTGATCAGCAAATATCCTAAAGTTTTTTTTAATCCACAAAATCGCTAAAAATAAAGTCTCCTGCCACAAGCATTTCTTTACCTCCCAAGATATCCACCATTAGTAAATTTTGTCGTAAACTTTTTCATCACTTGAGCACCGAATGAAATTGAGAATTTCGCACGGATAATTTAATTCAAATGAGTTCAAACTCCTCGCACTCATAATGTTCATCATCACATGGAGTATCTTGTGCTAAATTCGTGTTAGTTGAAGGCGATTCTGAATATCCGCGACGCATCTCATCTCCACTTCCATCACAAAAAAGAAACATTGGATACTCAACTTTTTGATTCGGTGGTACTAAAAAGGGTTGAACAATCTTAATGAAACTTTCTAGAGACTTTTTATCATGAAGATAAAACCCAATGCAACAACTGGGATCCATCTTAGAAAGTAACATTTTCCTTGGAGAAGAACAGTGAAAACTGGCGAGTGAAAAGTTATGTTTCCATACGTCGACAGTCTCTTGACAATAATGTGGATCAAGATGAATCAATTTGTCTTCTTGATATCCAATGAAGTATAAAGAATGTCGTGGTCGACCCCCAATAACACCAATGCAGACTTCTAGACTGAGGAGAGCAGTTAAACAAGGTCCGTAACCAGAATTCAGTTTATCTGCACCTAATCGCAGAGGTACTAGGATAACTAGTGACCTCCACGTGCCATCAGAACGTTCACAGGACCTTCTTACGTCTTCTAGATAAACTGAAAATCATTTCATGAATTAAAAAGTCATTTCCGACTATTCAGACCAAAATTTAGGGAAAAAAGTGAAATGTAGTTTTGCCAAAAACTCAATTATCTCCTGATCTACTGATGGTTTTTCAGAAAAAATTAACCGCTCATAAATACATCGATTATTTTGAACATTTTTGTGGTAATATCGGTGATTGTTTTGGGCAATAATCGGTCGGTTGCAGGTAGAGAAAATGAATAAAACTCCAAAACTTCATAAATTGGAGTATAAAATTACACAACTTTTCAACTGTTAAAGGCACTCCTCTTCAGCTGCTTCTAAAATAATACAATACCAAATAAATATCTGTTAGGGTAACTATGAGAATGCTTCATGAAATAAAATTTAATAATCATATTTTGATGACGAGAAAATTGTAAAAACGATTTCGAAGTGCACAGCAATTGTATGACAATGGGCGCCCTAATCTGTGGGCACAACATCATGACGTTAAATTGTCCTGAAGGCAAAATCCCTTTTTCCGTACTGATCTTCACTTTACCTCATCCGGGTATTGGCGCTACCCCAAACTCGTAAAAGTGAAAATCACTACGAAAAAATATCATTCACAACTGGTGTCATGGGTTTTTGTTCACTCGCGTGGTTGGCCAGTCCTCGCATTCGGCTCGGACGCCAATTCCATTGCGAGTAAAAAAACCCATGGCAGTCGCCCTGAAATATACTACTTCTCTTTTAAAAAATATGCAATGTTTTTTGTCACCGTTTTTCGTGACATAGCTTAGCTTATCGTATGAAGAACATAATTAAATAATACAGAGTAATTCCACGTCAAATTCGAAATGAACAAAATTTCATGTTTCCGATTGTCTTCCATAGGGCTGCGCACGAGACCGGGACTAGTCTCAGTCTCGTGCGCAGCCCTAGGCAAGATAATCGGAAACATGAAAAACAAAAAAATCCGACAAAATGGGAAAAACGAGACAAGACGAGACGAGACCAAGACGATACCACTGCAAAATCTCCGAGTCGCGGGTTTCTTCAACTTCCTGATCCGAAGGGAGGGATGACCGCGAAAATCAAATATGGAGTTTCCATGATTTGTCCACGTTTCTTGACGTTTTGAATCATTCTGACAAATTTTGTAAGAGATGTCTGTGTGTGTGTGTGCGCGTGTGTGTGTGAATATGTGTTGTAAGGATATTTTCCGGGGTTGTTCATCCAGAAAAAAACCAAACTACTTTTTAGCCTCCTCTATCGCTCATATGTTGGGCACCAGCTAAACCTTTACAGGGAGTTCGACGAAAACCGGCCTCTGAGGCAATCTCGTCTACTCAGAGGACTTCTGCGGCTGGACAAAGATTTGCCCAGCTAACATGAGTCTGACAAGGTAAAGTGGGCGAGGTCCACGAGGCGTATTACCATCACATTCTCACGAGCTTTTCTAAGCCGTGAATTATGCCTTGCGGCATAAATACCTTACTGAATTTTATTCACATTCGTTCTAGGGGATCTTTCGACTCCTCTAGCATTCTTTCTTCTCCCGAGTATTCCGACTCAGAAGTGTTTCAAGGTCATCTGCGAATCAGCCGGGACTGCTCAGAGCCTGGGACGTTGAGAGGCTGATCCGATCAAAGTGGAACTACGTTACCCATCTTACGACCACCCACACTCTCAACCACCAGTTACCGCTTCGGTCATTACAAACCACCGCCTTCGGGTAGTACTAGATTGTCGGCGTATGGTCGGGCCGACAGGAGGATTGCTCAATTCCAGGCCCACGGGCCCATACGCTTCCGAATCGTTCCGCCGAGACAGGACGCCGAATAGCACAAAGTCGTCACTTCGCGTTCCGAAATGACCTCTTTTTCTAGCGGGGGATGCAGGAGTATCCCCCTAGCCTCGCCGCCAACAGTTATTCACCGAGGCTATGAGGAGTCTAAAACTCCTTATCATGGCTTCCCCAGCCAATCACTAATCTAGCTCTCCAAGAGGTATTTTTCGACCTCTCGGTTGAAGTGCTCGCAATTCTTCTTCTTCTTCTTCTTCTTCTTTGATTTTTATTGGCACTGACTGGTTTCATCTTGCGGACGGAAGCGCTCGCATTTGACTCACTCGGAATCTTACTAGGGTCTTCTCCCCCTAGACTGGATCACTGATCTCTATACTAATTTTCAGTAGCGAAGTGGTAAAGCGGTTTAATTCAATTTTGACTATTGGCCAGTTTTCAATGAATATCTCGGAATCTAAGAGAGATAGCAAAATTTTTGTTATAACCTTTTTTGCAGAGCCAATTGAGACCTACAACAAATGTGATTGCGAAAATTTCGCTATCTCCCTTAGATTTGGAAATATTTCTCGAAAACTCAACTGGGAGATAAGTCGACTTAAACCGTTTTACCACTTCGCTACTGCTTTATTAGTTAGTATAGAGATCAGTGGTCTGGATATCTCGGCGACGATAGGTCATTCCGTTACGCTATCCCCACCAATCAACCCGACGGGATCAGGGAGGCACCAGTCATCTCACCTGGCCGTTGGTCCCTAGTCTACCCCGCTATAGCTTTTAGAATCGCCCAGCTGGACAGCCTGTATCTCGGCTCCTTTTCCCCTAATACAAGCTGGACGAATTCTAAATTAGCGACCGTCCAGTAATGTCCTGCAGACTTCCAGGGGTCGCAGTTCCCTGAATTTTTGGGTTATGGGGTTGCTAAGGGTCATAAGGGTCATGGGATTGCTAAGGGTTATAGGGTTGCTAAGGGTCATAAGGGTTATGGGGATATTAAGGGTCCCTTGAGATATTAACGGTCAAAACAAGGTTCACGCTAAGGATCATAAGGATTGTAAAGGTCAAAATAATGACTCACAAATAGTGACTCTTAGGGTCATAGGGTTCAAAATAAATGAGTAGTGTTGCCTAACGCTAAAAAATTTTCAGGGTTCACGAGGGTCACAAGGGTCATGGGGTTGCTAAGGGTCATAAGGGTCATGGAGTTGCTAGGGGTCATAAATGTAATGGGGATTTAAGGGTCATAAGGGTTATGTCTAATGAACAAACCTCCATGGTCATACGCGCATAGCCACACAGGAGGGGGGGCGAGCGAAGCGAGCGGGGGGGGCGAGCCGCCCCCGGGGTTGGCGAGCAACGCGAGCAGGAGACGTAGCCCCCTAGTAATAATAGATTTTTTACTCTAAAAATAATCGTTTCTGAATTGTAACGAATTTTTCCCCTTTCAGAATTTCACCAAAATTTAATTGGGTGCCTAAAAATATTCTTCTGAAAGTTTGAGCCCTTTCCATTATTCGTTTCTAAGAATGTCGAAAAAAAGTAATTATTTGCAGCACTTGTTTGAAAGACGCTAATTATCCATGCTTTATTTTCGAACTTTTCCTAGCCAATTCGATGAAGAAATTGTAACATTGAAAATTTATAAATAAAAAGTATTTCGACGTTTTGGGATAGACCTAAGTCTTGGTTTCATTAAACATAACCTCGAAAAACAAAAAACGACTTGGAAAAACAGGAGATAAATTTTTGTTGACTCCACCCTTGGAATTTAAGTTAATCTAATTATCAATCTCTCCAATAAATTTGGCAGTTCTTAGCACTTACCACTGAGAAATAACTTCTGATTCAACTCATTATAAACAAATATATGTGTAGGAAACAGGCTCTGATGTACTTTATGCTTGCACCGTGATTGTCTCTTATTGGGTTGGGGAAAAAGTAATTTCGGTTCTTCCTAATAGATGGCATTAAAGTTGTATATCTCTATTAATGTTTATTCAATGAAGCCATACTATAGCATGTTTAGAAGTTTACAGTCTATAGAACATCCTAGAGTACAAAGTAGCGTCATTGGATTACTCATTCAAAAATTATTGCGCTTTGACAATGGAGATTCCAGAAGGCCACTTTCGTCACATTTTGCTTTTTTACTTCCGAAAAGGAAAAACTGCAGCACAGGTTCATCGAAAATTGTGTAGTGTTTATGGTGATGAGTGCTGAAGTGAACGCCAGTGTCAGAATTGGTTTGCTCGATGTCGTTCCGGAAGCTTCGATCTTAAAGATGAACCTCGCCCTGGTCGGCCAACCGTTGAAAAAGTCGATGAAATTTTTAATGAAATCGAGGTAGACCGACATATTTCATCTCGCGACATTGCTACGAAACTAAACGTCAACCATAAAACAGTTTTGAACCATTTGCATAAGACTGGATACCAAAAGCAGCTCAATACTTGGGTTCCACATGAATTGACGTCGAAAAATTTAATGGACCGAGTTTCCATTTGTGAATCCCTGCTGAAACGAAACGAAATCGAGCCATTTTTGAAACAAATGATTACGGGCGATGAAAAGTGGATCACGTACGAGAATAATGTGCGAAAGAGATCGTGGTTAAAGCCCGGAGAAGCTTCACAAACAGTTGCGAAGCCCGTATTGACGCCAAGGAAAGTGATGCTGTGTTTGGTGGGATTGGAAGGGTATTGTTCATCATGAGCTGCTCGAACCTGGCCAAACCATTAATTCGACTGTCTACTGTCAACAACTAATGCAACTGAAGCAGGCGATTGAAAAAAAACGGCCAGAATTGATCAATAGGAAAATTGTCGTCTTCCATCACGACAATGCTAGACCCTACATATTTTTAGTGACTCGTCAAAAACTGAGAGAGTTTGGCTAGGAAGTTTTGATGCATCCACCGTATAGCTCTGATCTTGCCCCGTCGGAATATCATTTGTTCCGGTCTCTGCAAAACTCTCTTAATGGTGTAAAGCTGGGTTCAAAAGAGGCTTGTGAAAATCACTCGGTTCAGTTTTTCGCTCAAAAACCTCAGAAGTTCTACGGTTACGGAATTATAGTTTTACCAGAAAAGTGGCAAAAGGTCATCGATCAGGGCGGCACATATATCATTGATTAGTGTTTAAAGTTATATTAACAAATTCACTTTGAAAAACACGAAAAAAACTGAAATTACTTTTTCCCCAACCCAATATTTGGGACTAGAAA